GTTGTGTTTATTGCTTAATGTTATATGGCCTTAATCATGCACAGTATATATGTGATTGTATAAAATGAAAATGAAAATGAAATAAAACTTTTAAGAATAAAAATAAATAAATAAGTAAAATAAACCCTTGCCTGAGTGATGTGCTAAAATGTCATATTTTACTATTCATAATACATTTTCTTATTTCGTCTTTAGGAATTCCTTCCCCCCTCCCCGAAAACTACCCAGATGCAGGGAACAATTTGAAGATTTTGTCTAACAATCCAGCAAAATTGGCCAAACCCAAACACACTATGTTATAGCTTAGTATAAGGTTCTTGATTTCATAGAAATGTGAGCATCAATTCTAAATGTTAGATTTAAACAAATTATTTTATTGATTTGGTAAAAAATATTACAAAATATAAATTCTGACATTACAACTCTAAAATTTTGTAAGGGACATTGGCATGTTGTATTAGCAGTGATACCCAGCATGATTCATATTAATTAATACATGTTTTGGGATACTGATCTTGATATTATTTTATTTTGTTACAATGTGTCCACTGAAAATTCTGCAAAAGTAGCTTGAAATTATGCACTCAATGGCAAAATATTAATTAAAACACAATTGAAACAGTGTAGGTTTTTTTCCTGTACTGTATGAACTTAAGCTCTATTAACTTCTTGAAATGGAGGTCATGAAAAATGTAAATCAAGATGGCATTTCCAGACTTATTCGTGACAATCAGTTTTGCTAGCATGAAGGTTTCTAAATTAGATTAAAACTGCTAGTTTAGGGGAGACCTTAATCTCCCCTAAGACCTTAGGGAATCTGAAGCATTTTAACTGTTTAATTAATTGCTGTAATCTGCTTCAACTGCAACATTCTTTTAGAGTTTTCTGTAATGACCAGATGAGTTTAAAGAGAATAGAAAGTTTAAAAAATTCATGGAACCTCATAGAACGTTTCATGTTTCATCTAGCTTGTCAAGCAGGACAATTGTTTTTCTACAGTAATATTTAAAAATTAGTGAGATATATTTATGGGTTTTGATTTGATTTACTTAATAACATTTATGCCTCATGAAATATCTACATAAACTACCGGTAATACATTTGGAAAAACTGAAGACACCAGTTTTTTATATTATCTAACATCCAACAATCAGACTAATAATTTCCACATTTTTAAACATCTACCAATCCCCAAAGTCATTTATTGATCCTTGTTTTTACTTTCAGTTCAGTCGTACATATAAATTACTAAATAAACAGGTTCTCTTGATTTTAATATTTTTCCTTCTCATATAATGAAAGTGGCAGCTTTTTGTACAACCACTTTCAAGAAATATTATACATGCTTGTTCACATGACTCTTTGGACATGATAAGTCACTTCAAGTTGTATGACCTACAGTAATGCTATTATATGCTATTTAAATTTGCTATATTAAAGTACAGTTCAAAGATTCATTCAAGGAATTTTTTAAATGGCTTTTATGAACATTAAACATACTGTGTTTTACAATAATAATTGTACACATAGATGACAAAAAAGGGGTTTATAATTCTCAATTCTCAAATTCCAGCAGTTTCCGTCACACCCAATGTGTTATGAATCTAGAACCAGTTTTATGGATGAATAAGGGTTTGAGGGACACCTTGTTGTTGTCTAGCTGTTGATAGACAAGTTTTATTAACTGTGTTAGCTTATTGATTATCTTTGTATCAGAATCCACACTCCAAAAATGAGCACGCTAGGACAATTTTTTACTGAATTAATATTTTATGATTAAAATTAATTGCCTCAAAGAAAAAGTATTTAATTTATATGGATATTCATTCCCCATCTGAATATACCAGTCATTCTATCTCACAGGCGGAAACCATTCTCACACACATAATACAAGTATGTTTATATTGTATCAGAAATCTCCCCCTCCCTCCCTCCCTCCCTCCCTCCATGTCTGTGTTTGTGTGTGTGTGTGAGTGAGTGTGTGTGTGTGTGTGAGAGAGAGAGAGGGAGATACTTCTGATACAATATAAACATTTTTGGGGGTTTGGATGTGGTAGCAACACTGGGTGGGGCTCATGAAGTTCTTGTGGCTTTGACTTCAGATTTGCTTCTATCTATTCCTACTAGTTTCTGCCAACTGTGACATGCTTTAATCCAGCCCAGCTTTCCTCTTTGTACCTACTAATTTGGGGGCTTTTAAAGTGTGTGTCCATACACATGAAGTCATTGCTTGAGATTCTAAAATTGGCCAAGACAGACTATTCTTATTCTTGTTTACTCTGATTATGCTGCAAGTCAAAGATAGGATTTTATTTCTGTAATTGGGTTTCTATAATAAATAGATTTTCCTCTTCTGTTATTTTGACTGTAATGTTACTAGCTACCTTATCTTAGAAGATCCTTATTTCTTACCTCTAAAATTATGTGAAATTATGTCATATGTGAAATTATAAACACATGTGAACTAGACAACCCAGGACCCCTTGGCCTACATTTCAGAGATATTTCTTTAAGTATAATCTTTATTGTCATTGTACTTAAATACAACGAAATTGGTTTTACCAGATTACCTTAATGCATTCAACAGTGGCAGCACTTTTAATATACTGCCTTTACTTGAAAAGTTCTTAAAAATTAGGGTCACATTCAGAGCTGCATCTGCTTTGAAAATAGTTCATGTTTAACTGTATAGCACAGTCAAACATCAGGAATAGATCATAGGAAATGATTTATGACATTTTGTATTATGTTATACATGTTTTATGACAATTTTATGTCATAAAAGTGTTTACAAAATTTGCCAATTTCAATTTCACAGATGCAGGGATTTTGGATGCATTCTGTAATTAGCCCCTCTGAAGTATTTTGGTTCTAAACGTTTTACCCTATGATGCACCATTTCACCCAGTTAAAATTACAGATACGAGAGTTTTAGTAGCATATAGATGGATAATGGCAGAGGTTACAGTACAGTGCCTAAGATGCAATACATCGAATCCCTTTTCTCTTTGAAGTGTTGTGGTAGATTCAAAACTGTGCCCAATGTAAGTAACCAGATCTTTGTATATGTCCCTTATAATAAAGTGTTCTGAAACCTTTAAGAGGAGTGGGATTAATATGGATCCTTTCCTTTTTAAATCTGTATTTTTTTGTGGTTTAGTTTTATCTATCTCTGAAACTTTACCATTCCCTTTTCTCAGCAAATGGAGAAGACAATACCAGAAAAACTCTTGCAGAAAGTCGAGTTATTATAAGACAAAATATTTCATGCAAATTTTATTTAGCTGTTTATATTGAATGCTTATCCATGCACGCACAAGAATGCCCACATTCATGTACACGCATGCACGCACACACACACACAGATGCACATGGTAATACAGGACACAAAATATACACACATACCATTATAAGGTGAGAATTTTTTAATTATTTACAAACATACCAATAGCTTCCTCAGAATCCTTCAGAGTTTTTAGTAGTAGCAATAATTTATTCTACTCTAGATTCCTTCCGTCTTTACAATATTACTAATTATTTTTCTTACTACTATAGCTTGAAGAGTTTACAGTTGATAACATATGAAATCTTAATACTCATAGGAAAAGAATATATTTAAGATGCATTGATGTCCAAAAACCTCTTTCCAAGAATTCTTTTTCTGCATAAAGAACAGTGACGAAACGTTCTATTCTGACTAAAATAAGTTTTTATAATAATGCCGTTCACTTGATTTCACAGAGATTTAGGAGGAACAAAAGATAAGTGTTACTGGTTAACAGAACTTGCAATCCTNTTTTTTTTAAAAAAAATGCCTCTTCAAAACCTTGGTGCATCTTATACTCCAGTGCATCTTATACTCCGAAAAATATGGTATCTAGGTACAAGTCTGTAGATTTTATTATTGTTTTGCTTATCTAGCTCTAAAACAATTCAAAATTCGGCCAAGGAGCAACAGCATTAAAAATTCTGCTGTGAAGATTTTTTTACTGTAGTCAATGAAGCCTATCTTGCAAAATTGAAGACACCAGCTGTCAGAGAAAGAAAGTCTCCATACCAATTACTTGAAGCCTAAGATTATAATATTTCAAAAGAAGCCATTGAAGTTTTAGTACATTTAACTGTGCTGAAACAAAACTGAACAAATTAATCTTTATAAATTCCTGAGCATAGCTTTTTGAAAGTAAGATGTTTTTGGAATGTACAAATTAATTCAAAAATACCCAAAGATAGCAATTTTAAAATTTTAAGCAATTTTTCAAAATGAGGGAGGAAATTACAGACTGAACAGTTTTTAATGGCAAAGTTATAATATGGCCAAAATGCAGTTCACAAATTTGTTCATATAAAGACCCTCTGGAGATTATAAACTAAATTTTGAATAGGCATGTTTTCTGTGCCTTGTTGCATATCAAACATAATGCTGTGTTTTGAAATAGGATTGACTTCAATCATGGCCTAAATACTGAGTTGCTATTTCAGTTTTTGGTGTAAAATATTTTTTTCCTGACAGAAGTCTTTTGTTGGGTATGGAACATTTTAGGCTCAGTGATGGAAACCTGTAGAAATTAGAGTTACAGAGTTACTTCCAGGATATTGCATACATGATGTTATTCAGGGAAACATAACTACCATTTATGCAAATTGTAATTGCATCACATTTTTGTCCCATATAGTTTGAGAAGCTAAATTTAATTTAGATCTGAATATACTCTCATCATGATTCAAGGCATAAAGAATTTCTTAGAAACTGATGTGTATAAGGCAGTTGGATAAATGAATGCTTGCTTGCCCTTGCTGGGGAGCTAGCAAGTTTTTTACTTGCTTGCTGAGGCAGACTGGAGAGCCATAAGGGACTGGGGACAGAAAGGAACTAGGGGAACTAATTTTTGCTGATGTTTGCAAATAGAGATGAGAGAGAGATTTGGGGTGGGGGAATTGGAGGCAGTGCCTTACCTTACTGAGGCTTGGGACTAGGAGGGACCAATTCCGGAGTGGTTTCTATTGGATTGAGTACAGCTAGTCCTCAACGTACAGTCATTCATTTAATGACTGTTCAAACTTACAACTGTACTGAAAAAGTGACTTATGACCATTTTTCACCTTATGACCAATGCAGCATTTTCATAGTCATGTGATCAAAATTTGGATGATTGGCCAGTGGTTCATATTTATGATGGTTGCAGTGTCTGTCACATGATCACTTTTTGTGAACTTCTGACAAGCAAAATCAATGGGGAAGCCAGATTCACCTAGCAGTGTTTCTAATTTAACATCTGTAGTGATTTACTTAACAACTGTGGCAAGAAAGGTTGTAAAATGGGGTTAAACTCTTTTAAGAACTGTTGCACTTGGCAATGGAAATTTTGGACTCAATTGTGGTTGTAAATTGAGGACTGCCTATATTTAACAAACTCAGTTAACAATCACAAGATCATTTCTTTTGTAAGTTCTGGCATTGTCTACAACTATACCAACTTACAATAGAAATTCCATTCCCAATTTATGATCATAAGTAAGAATTACCTGCACATTTGAAAAAAAAAATTGCAACATTATCTAGCAATATTTTAATAAGCAATAAAAGGTCATCTATTCTTCCAGCTGTTTATTGCTTATTAATATCCACAACTTGCTTTCTTTATCATGTCAGTTGGATTTTAGACCTTTATATATCACTAATTCAGTTAAATCAGAAATGATAGGTCTTATACAGAAAGACATTTATTTTGGGGTTCAAGGATTCCAAAAGAAAACATTTTGGATGGAATATCCTGCTTTTCTTGCTACGTCAAAAAACATTGTTTTATACCAAGCATTTCCTATCCATTCATCAGATACTGAAAAACAATATTAGAAAATAGCTTTTTTTGCAAGCCATTATTTTTCTTTCTTTGATGTTTGTCTGATGTGTTTTGAAGGCTATAGCCAATGGTAGTGGACATGCAGCACCTACAGTGAACCGTATATTGTATATTGCACAATGTATTAGAGTTCTGTAATAAAAAAGGAGGAGCAGTCATAAATGGATCATAGTTTATACGTAAAGTCAAAGTGGGGGCTTCCAAAATTCCTTCCTGAGTTAGTTAAGTCTCTTTGCTTCCATCATATATAATATTGACTGTTTTAAATATAATCTTCCTAAATATTTTATAAAAGTATTTATAAAGTATTGGACAACTTATATCTAGCAATGTAGAGTGGTAGCCATATGCTCTGTCCTGCAAGGGCATGTAGGAGAGAAGTTAGTCATACTGAAGGCCAAAATCCATCACATTAACCATGTACAAACACTACAGCAAAGAGTTATTCAAGGCAACCCCCCTGGGGGTATAAATCTAAGTTTAGGTACAAATCTACTATACTAATTACAGGAAGAGATAGACTGGAAGAGTGGTCTTAATGTAGATAAAGGTCACTGTATCAGAAAAAATTAGTTCAGTCACAGGTTCTGCAAAATGGGCTGAGGTGAACATTATTTCCATTAAATATCTTAGTCTCTGATACTGATACTTTATAAAATTTTCAGAAAAAGATCTCTTTCCTGATCAATTATGTTCATTATGTTAACTGCCTCCTGAGGAGGCCATCTCTTCCAGTGCTACTTGACAATCTGACAGCCACCTACAGTGTACATTTTCCTCCCTTGGCCCTACATTGATTTTAGAAATCATCAACATATGCAAGACTATTAAGCAGGATTACTTTCAAGTGCTTAAAGATTCAATTCTGGGAACCATTAATTATAAATAAGTCTAATTGAACAAAATATAACTTTATTTTGGTTAAAATATACTTGGTATATCATGTGTTTTTGCGGAGTTAGAATTTATTGGACGGAACATTGCTATTTTTAAAATTTTCAATTTTATTTAAAAACATCTCCTTTATGTGTTGTTTAGACTTAAGCAGTAAATTTGCTTTCTATGTGTTGGAACCAGAGTTTATTTCATGTAGATAGAAAGGTTCTTTCCAGCCATAGATGATTTTTAATCTAAAGAAAAAAATCCCAGTGATACAAAGAAAAATGCAGCTATTTTTGTTAACTAACTTCCCCACTCTGTTTTCCACTGTCATCCTCAAAGTTTGTTCCAAAGATCTAGAATTCCCAAGAACTGAAACAGCAGGCATAAATTTTAAAATGCTGTTTTTCCTGCTTCCCATTTTGCTGAAATTCCACTTGCAGAAAGTTCATAGTTGTGATAAACTAGCAGGAATCTGGAGTTTAATATTTATGTTTGATTTATTCTTCTGAAGAGTTATATATTTTCTTCAATGTAGCTCTTTATTTTGTTTTTTCATGTATATTTAGATTAGATGAACAAGTTAAAGAATTTCTGGAAGATACTGATCCTGAAAACGTTTTGGAAATTGGGGCTGACATGCGGAAGATAAAATACTGTTTCAGCCACTTAAAAGTATGTTGCATTGTGTTTTTAACACATTAACAAATGTACCGTATTTTGATTTATTAGGCAATTTTAAAAGAGAAGAGGAAGTATGAGTTTCTAATTAGAGCCTAATTTGTATATATATTTTTAAAAAATTATGTTTTTCTTGTAGCAGTAATGAAATTTAAATATTGTAAATGAGAAAAACACAGTTTCCCATGTGATGTTTGATATAGGAAACTAGAGTTATTAATCTAAGGGTAGGGTTAAGGTGTTTTCTTCAAATGCTCTTCCTGTTTGCATTGACTTTGTTCTTAATATTTTAAAAGGTTTCCTGTCACATGTAAAACTGTGATTTTCAATATCTGAAAAAAGCTGGAAACTGTAATTTAAAGAATGTGCAAAGTATGTATCCCTATATTGCTGGGTATTCCTTCTTAAATAAACCATTATTATTTAGACCAGTGTTTTTCAACCACTGTGCCGCGGCACACTAGTGTGCTGTGACATAGTATAAGGTGTGCCGTGGAAGAATTACTTTATATATAGTCAATATAGGCACAGAGTTAATTTTTTTTAACATTTTCTAATGGTGGTGTGCCTCATGATTTTTTTTAATGAAAAAAGTGTGCCTTTGCACAAAAAGGNAGTATAAATTGTAGGAATTCAGGTCTCTATATCACAATTGGAGTAAATTGTTGATTTAACATTTTTTTTGATATAATTGTTGTGGTTTGTGTCTTAAAATATTACCTACATAGTTATGTTATTTTCCATAAAGCATTAATAAAACCATTATGCAAATTTTCAACACCCTGAAATCTGGCTAAGCTAATTAAAACAAAAAATTACCATTTTCTATTACTTCTTGATATTGAATAGACATCATACTTTATAATTTAATGCTGTTCATATGTAAAACATGCAAGATATGTTTTGTTTTTTCAGCCAGGTAATCAACTGTAAAAATGTGTACAGTGCATATAAGGAAGCCCCAAACCAATACCTAAAATAGCATATTTTTGCTCTTAGTATATTATTCATTAAAGTGTTAAATAAGCCCATTGCTTTTGTCTCTTTGTTGGCTCAATTCAGTAATGGTTTCTGCAGGCATCTTGTAAAATGCATATTTAATAGGGATTTGTATGAAAATAGAAAATATGTTTTGTTTCAAGTTCAGAACAAAAAGTCCCCCTCTAACTATTGAGTTCAAATTCTTCAAAATGGTTTTGTTCCCAACTGAATAAAAGTTGACATGGCTCCAGTATCCTAACCATATAAACTAATGGGAACTTGGAGCTGAGGTAACTACCCTTGTTTCTTCATTTGTTACCAATGATATATTTTATAGTATGATACTGAAAACCAAAATAGTAAAACAAAGAAAAATGTTTGGAAAAAAATCCTTCCTGAAAATATCAGTAATTTTGGAAAAGAAAAATTGCTTTGAGTTTTGACCGTCAGATTCTAATTAGGGAGACATTAATAGCTGTTTAAGAAGAAACATTTGGACTCATGAATCTTCAGATGACATGAAATAAACATGATTCTGTCATTTTAGATATACCATTGAATCTATAAATGACACTTAAGTTTCCATATACTACAGAAATTGATTAATTTAGTATGAAAGTGGTTGCTGTGCTGATTCCAAAAAAGACAGACAGGATCCAGAGTGGTTTGGGAGGGGAAAAAAATTGGCCAACAGTAGAAGTAAATTAGCAAGATTTTCATTTTCATAGAATTTTTTCACTTAGTCCAAATTGTATATTTTCTCAGAAATTCTAATTAATCTTGAGTAACTCTTAGCTTATCTTGACTGATCTTGGAAACTAAAAGTGCTTGGCCCGGATTAGTGGGACTATGTAACTTCTGAAAGAGGTGCTTCAGTATATATGGAGCCAAGTGAAGCAGCCATAACTTTTCCAGAATGTTTTCCTTACTGTCTCTACATGTCTGTCCTTGCACAGCCAGTTTGCTTCATCAGAAAAATAAAATGAAATAAAGCAGCTGTGCATGTGTACATATGCAGAGAGAGATGGGATCATCTGTTAAAGCAGCTATGAAAATCTGAAAAAATAGGTAATTGCTTTAAAAAATTCAGAAATAAATGTTTCATAAGTGATCCTCTCTGCTCACAAGCATCATTTTGAACTTATTGGTACAGTACATTGCTTTGAACATGGATAGGGGAATCACCTGAGTTGTTTTCAAAAAGGGAAGGCAAAAATCTTCCAAAAGAATGCATTGACAAACCATTTCTGCAATCGCCAAGTAGTCTGTTTATTAGTAAGAGTTGAACTCCACTTGAACTATTTTTACTTTCAAATATTATTTCTACAAATCAATCCATTCTGATGTATTCCTTGAACAGGAGTGGGAAAAGAAATGTCACTTGGACGCCAAGAAGCCTTTGAAATTTTCAAAAGAGATTATGTAGATAGCATAACTATTGAAGACAATAAACAACTCCTTAAACAAAGGTAAGATTTACACTCAACCATAAAACTCAAAGTTTTTGTAGGCAAAAATAGATACTTCTGGCTGGGAGAGATAAATTAATTATAATATGAAGATGGTTTAAGTAAATAAGTATACTAACTGCACAGACTGTACCAAAAGGCAAGAAGTGTATACACCTCAGGGACATTGTTTAGGATAGAGATTACTGTAAACTACATCTCTGTGGAAAACATTCCACAAATTGGTGAATTAAGTGACAGAGTAGCAGTGTAGAATCTTTAGTTTTATTCAGTTCTAGAAGATCTTACAAATTTATCTGATATGCAGAGACACCAGAATATCTATAATAAAAAGAATCCTGGAAAATGTATTCATATAATTAGTTTTGAATGCATAAAACATGTGTAGAAACAAACGTAAAAACACATTTTATCGCTTAGTGGCTTTTTATAAATAAAAGTAGATACACATTTTATGTCTCAATTCACAAATAAAAACTTATGTCATAAATATGGATATGTGTGAAGAATTTATTTGCCAGTTGGCTAATGTAATTGTGGAAACTATGAATAAAAGAAAAATATGCTATACAATTTTGAAAATGAAAATATGCTACACAAATCTATGGTTATTAATTTCTTCATAACCTAAGACCATACCATATAACATTCAGCTGCAGTCAGTTATGTAGCAAAACGGAATATACTGTATAAATATTTAAATGTTATGTGTATGGGAAATCTGATGTAGCAGAAACTTCATAGTGATGTCTTAGGGAATTTCCATGATATGGTAATGGGATATAGAGCTTTGAGCATGTTCTGCTATTAATGAAGCGAAATGAAATTCAAGTCATTCATCTTGAAGCTCTGCAAAATATTTTAGGGTTTTGGAGAAAGGAACAGTAAATGTAGAATTCCAGTTAAAGAACAATAAAGCAGTTATTAAGAACTTGTTTTTCTCCAGTTTTCCAACTCTCCTGTATAAATAAAAATATTTTAATAATAGTACAATAGTTAAAATGATTCAGGGAGCTTAACCTAGGATATATTAAAAACATTCAATTGATAGTCTTTAAGGAAGTTTAATCACACTCCAGTAAGATTGCCTGTCAAATTTTCCACATGTGCTAGGCCTAGTAAACGTGGAAGAACTTCAGAATTCACCAAATGCAAGGAGAAATATTAGGATTCTGGAGATAAACTGAAGCATTTTTTAAAAAAAGTTTTTCATAGTCCTCTCAAACTTTAGATTTCTTTAGCTGTCTTGTGTTATCTGTTTTTGATTTTTCTCTTCCTGGCTATTCTCTCCATTACTGTATTAGTTATTCTGCTGCCATCTTCCAACCTTTCTTCTTAAGAATTTTCACACAAATGATCAGTCATTATCTTTAGCCAAAGTGATAAATGCTATGCAATTGTACTTTTAGTTAAATTTTAAATAGAAATACTTTAGCTTTCGGTCCTATTTGTTCTTCCAATATTATTATTATTATACAATTGTATCATAGCGGCCAGTTGTTTCGCCGGATTTGGCATTGGTTGCTAGTTGGGCCCGACCCAGGGGCCTA